TGTTATCGATCAGTTAGGTTAGGTTAAAATAATTGTTTGGTATTAAAAATATAATTTTAAAAGTTATATTTATGTGTAATACATCAGGAATTACTATTTTCTGTGTAAAATATAAAATATTGATCTTAAATTAACACATTTTATTATATACGTGTTGCAGTAATGATTTTCCGTGTAATGAAACCGATACCTCAAAAATTACAAACAACATGAATTGCAATAGTATTGAAACTAATAAAAAAATATCAGAAAACAATGTAGACAAAATACGTCAGTTCGACTGCAATAAATGTCAAAAGAGGTTTGCGACAAAAAGTAATATAATCCGGCATATTGCGAAGTTCCATTCCACTACTTCCATAGAAAAGAAAGTGCCTCAAAAAAATGAAGTTAACCATCGAAACAGTAGAATCAAAAAGAATGGTCGAGACAAAGATGGTCTATTTAATTGTGGTATTTGTTTAAAAAGGTTTTCATCAAAATCAAGCCTGATAATACATTGGCGTATTCATACGGACGAAGAACCCTTTAAATGCGATGTCTGTGAGAAAACATTTGGTCACCAGGCTTCCTTCAGAGCTCATGAAAGAAGACATACCGGAGAGAAACCCTTTGAATGCGATGTCTGTGAGAAAACATTTGGTAGACAATATCACCTCAACCGTCATAAACGCATACATACCGCCGACAAACCCTTTGAATGCGATGTCTGTGGAAAAACATTTGGTCACCAGGCTTTCCTAAAAACTCATGAAAAGATACATACTGATGAGAAGCGCTTTAAATGCGATGTCTGCGAAAAAACATTCGATAGACAATATCACCTCAAACGTCACGAACGCATACATACCGGCGAGAAACCCTTTGAATGCAATTTCTGTGAGAAATCATTCAGTCTGCAACATAATCTCAAGAATCATGCACGTATACATACCGGTGAGAAAGGCTTTAAATGCGATATCTGTGAAAAAACATTTGGTAGACAACATCACCTCAAAACTCATAAACGCATACATACCGGAGAGAGACCTTTTAAATGCGATATCTGTGAAAAAACATTTGGTCACCAGGCTTCCTTCAGAACTCATGAAAGAAGACATGCCGGTGAGAAGCGCTTTAAATGCGATGCCTGCGAAAAAACATTTGATAGACAATATCACCTCAAGCGTCATAAACGCATACATATTGGTGGGGTACGATACAAATGCGCAGTGTGTGGTACGTCATATGGTCGCCAAGATACTCTCAAAAGTCATCAAGCAAAAGCACACGGGTCATAGCCTCATAAACCGCACGTCACTCTTTGGCAGTTTTAAAATAGGTTTTCAGTATCTTATAATTTTGCAATTTTTTTTACTCATGATTTAATTCAGATTCAATTTATTTGTATTAGTTTTCTAATAATTGTTGTATTATTACTAACGTTTAACTGATCATTAACATAAATATGACGTTTTCCATTTAATTTTTCGATGGATCACATGAAATATTTAGTTTGTATATTTTTACATGTAATTTTTAAATTGCATAATTTGCACATGCATTATAGTAAAACGAATTGTTGCTGTTCTTATTTTTTATTATAAAATGTTTGTAGACTTTTATAACTACTGTTGGCTTTGGGCAAAAATTACTTTTAAAATATGTAAGTTCACAATTAAAATTAGTGTTTAATTTTAAAATATTTATTTATTTTTACTTAACTCTACATTTATTTACTTGTCCAAACGAATAATTAAATATCAATAAAAAGAGATTCTAACGGATTAACTCAAACTGTAACACCTACATTATAGAATGTTAATTCGAAACATTGTAAACAAAATTAATTGATACTAATATGCTATCATTTTTTTTTTGTATGTTAGCCATTAGGTATATTATATACTATTGTATCTACTTCAGTTATTTTTTATTAGAATGTAATTAAACTTATTCAATTGGTCAACTATTCTTTAGTATTAAATGGTTTTAAAATTTTACTTGGACATAAAGATTGTATTGTATATTGTAAGCTAATTTATCATCACTACTATGATGATGATAATTATTTAGTTCTCATCGAATCATTAAATTAATTATATAGCTTTGTGTACGGTAAACGGATAATCGATGTTTGATTAAATAAGTATAATTTAGTTGAAGGATGGTACGTCGACACCCAACGAATTTGCGGATATGACGACCTAACACACCCTAATAGCGCCTTACAACTTTGCTGATAGGCAACCTAATTGACCCTAGTTTGACACAGTATTAGGAAAATAACTGTGACACGAGAACGAAAAAGGTCATAGTCTTGTAGTTGTATACATCAAGATGCTTTCTTATCAATTACAATTAGTTTTGAATGAACGAAAATATTATTCTGTAGAAACAGCTCAAACAGAAGAAACGTATTTTTTAAATAATTAACCCAATATTACTATTATCAATAGTGGAATATTGGCGTGTAGACCAAAAGCATATTCTATGTTACATTCTAAACACCTACATTATTATTAATATACATTTGTATAGTCGGTATATTCTATCACGATTTGTTAAAAAGAAACCAAGAAAACAGTATTAATACCTTTACGACCAAAGAAATAGAAACTCCTTTAATTACGATTTTTATAGGGGAGAGTATGGGTAAAAATTGGAACTAAGTCCTAAAATTAAGACTAAATTTAGTATGTACCGAATATTGTTTTATACATGACGTGATAGTCACCACTTAATTTTTTTTCGGAAAATTATTCAAAATAATTAAGTAACATTAATTTGGAAAGAGAAATTGATAGATTTTTGTAATTTAATCTTTAATTGTATGAGGACTTATATTTCTGAAATTGGTCGCATCGCACTTAGTTGTATCATCGTTATTATTGTGTTCAGTAACTGTGTATTTATTTTCTAGCACTGGAACGTTCTCAAAACATATTGTAAGTCGTGCCATTTGTTTGTCTATAACTATCTATTGAAATAAGAAAAACCGTACATTGATATTGTTTTAGTGTACTTGTTCAAACAGTCACCCGTTGTATACACAATCTCATGTAAAAAAATATGCATCCAAAAACCATAGCAACATTTAATTTGATTTTATCACTATAGTCAGTGGCTACGTGCGATGGTCGGCTGCACCTCTTACAGAAATAACAAAATAGTAGACATAATATAATTGATTTGATATTTTATGTTAAGGAATACTTTGTTATTTTTTTTCTTGGTATCTTTATTCTATAAATATAATATATTATCGACGGCGGCGGCCGTATAAACTATTATGTGCGATGATTTTGTACCACACAACATTCGGGCGGCCTATATGAATTCGACGGCGACGGCTGTTGTTGATAAGTGTTATCATTTTATCATAAAATACGTTTGTGTACGGACAACAAAGGAAAACGGTGACTATATTATTTCTTATTTTAATTTTAATTATAATTAATTAACGTTTATTTTTTTTTTTATAAGTTGTATTTTACTATAAATAATACAAATTCCGTGCAAGATATTTTAAAATTAAAATTGTAATTTCTTTCTTTAGAAAAAAAAGTAGAAATAAAAAATGTAGGTAGACCTTCACCAAGTTCACCCAATTTCACTAAAAAAGGACCAAATGAATACACTCGTCATTTTAATACTGGGCTTTATCAAAAGTCCAAATGGCTTTGTGGTTGTGAAACTACCACAAAGCCATTATTAACGTTATATTGTTTCCCTTGTGTTAATTTTGGAGTAAGACTGGTGTAAACGATTTAATACATCTTTTAGCCAAAATAAATAAATATAAAAATTCGTTTAAACATCTACAGAATGAGGCAAATTTCAAAGTGTTGGGAACTATTGACATAAAACATAAAGGTTTAATATTATTATTTTTCAACTTAAAAAAAAAATATGCCTTGCAAAAACAGCTTGATGGATCAAACCTTTTGATTTTGAGTTTTTATTTGAAAACGTTGAATTAAATGTTTAACATGTTACAACATACATTTTACCATTTTTGTCTACACATAGTATATGAAATTGTATAATTAGTACACCTTAAGTCTTTAGACCTATGTCTAACAAGAGAAATTTAAGAAAGGATGCTTATATCTTCTGGATGAAACGTTTCATGATGTCATCTTAGGCTATCACTGTACTTCAGTGGTATTATATTTAAGAGTATTTTTTTAGGTTCAAAGGGAAAGAGGTGATCATTTAAATCTTCTGAATCAACAAAGTACCCTTTTTTATTCTAATTTACAGTTTCTTTTTCCTTATCCAGACGTTGATTGTTTTGCACGAATTTAAATTAAACGGTACACTCTCAATAGGAATAGATATCACATTGTGAGTTGCTAGGGCTGGGTATTTATCACCGTTGTTGTTTGTAAATGATTTAGGACTTTTTTTGTAAGCGAGCCCGGAACAACAATTATTTCCAGCCGATTAGGTATATTATGTCCTAAATGGTCGTTTTGTAACTTGTACTGTACTCATTACCATTGATGAACGTTATACTCAAATAACTAAATACATTGAAATAATTGTATGTTTTAAACTCATTTAATTAAGTTGAAAATTAACATTTCACAATTTAACAAAGATTTAAATACATTTTATTTTATTCTTTTGGAGCGTTTTTTGTAGCTATTGCAAAGTTTTGTTATTTTTTATTCAGTAATTATAGAACTAGATGAATTTTATGAACTAATAACAATTATCTGTCAAATGTTATATAAACCAATAAATGAATACACGGGTCTCATAAGGGATGCACACTTATAAGACCCGTGTTTTTATCTATTGGTTTTATTTAATATTTTAGATTTTTGTTATTAGACCATCAAAATCATCTATTTCTATAATTTCTGAAACAAAAAAAAACTTTCTTTAACTCCATACAAACAGTTTCTTAACAATTATCATTAAATGATCATTGAAGTAAAATAAATAAATACATTGAAATAATTGTGTGTTTTAAACACATTTAATGAAGTTGAAAATTAACATTTGTCAATTTAACAAAGATTTTAAATCTTCAATTATTGTCTTGATTGTAAAAACTGAACGTGTTTTGTAGCTATTGCCTCCCTTATTGGACGTGCGTATGCATCTATTGTTATTTGTAATTTTTGACAGATATTTGCTACTAGTTTATTAAAAGCAACTTTTCCTATAGTACCTGAAAAAAAAAACTTTCTTAAATTTTAAACGATAGATGAATTTATATAAATTGTTAGAATACAAACAGCAGTTATACACCGCACAACTGACTAAAAAATGTTAAATGCGAGGAATTTTTACGACAAAAATATCACTTCTATTTTACGTTAACTCTAAATAAACAGTTTCTTAAAAATTATTATTAAATGATAAAGGAAGTAAAATTAATGTTTACGGTCAAGTGGCACTTGTCCGTCCTCTGTGGTACCAACACATTCCGCTGCCGCATTCTCCGCAGTTTCTCTGGTACCTGTACCCACATTATCCAAAAACTGTTGTAGTGTTATGGCATTTATTTGGTCTGAATGAGTACGGTCAGCATTGACATAATCTAATATCTCTTGAAAAAAGCAATTTAGGGTCTGAAATTTAATTACACTAATATCATCGTTACGTCGTTACTGGTTACATAAAAAGATGATAATACAATTTAAATTCGTTTAAACTAGAGACCAACATAAATCGAACAATCATTAACGTGAAACAAACTGCGTAATTCCAATAAATGTATAATTAAATAAATTCACGAAAAAAATAAAGTTTTTCCATTATTCAATTAATCAAGATGAACTTAACTATTTATCCGTGAAATAATTTAAATATTATCCACAATTAAATTAGCTATTTACTTTAAAACAAAATTTGTATGACTAAAACTCTTTTATGATTGAGGTTTACGAACATGGGTAGGATGAAATTCCAGATAAATATCGTTTTTTATTCGCCAACTAAAAAAAAATTGTATCTTCAAAATAAAACAAATATATTTTACAGAATTTAACCGATTGATATAAATAAAATACATACTCGTACAATTAAAAGAATTGTTTAATTATAATTATCAATAATTTAAATTAGGATTTAATGTTATGTAGAAAAAAATCACTTGGTAACTAAAAAAAATAAATAAATTATAAATAAAAGTATAATTTTTGTACATTAAGGAAAACGTAAAGCATAAATTTGTTTTACAAATAAATACTAAAACGCGGAGTCACTTTCCTGAAGTGTCTACCGAACCGATTTCAATATTTTTTTTATTTTTTTATGGTTTACCATAATTCTCTATGGGGGCTAAAAGACCGATTTTTTATTTTTGGTTTTCAAAAAGATATTTATTAGCATTTCTATTTTTACTTTTTTAGAGTTTTTTCTAATACATCTAACTACTTTTTAATCGCTAAATAAAAAATCGGCTTTTTAGCCCCCACAGAAAAAATAGTGAGCTTCGCATAAAAAAAAAAACTTCAAATTCGTCCAATAGATATGCTAGGAAAATACGAAAGTAATTTTTTATCAAATTTTCGTCATAACTCGGAGAAAAATAAATTTAAAAGTATTATAATTAGAAAATTAAAACATATGTTCATCTTGAAATTAGTAGGCATATGAAAAATGGCTATTAGATTAATGTTTGTCAAATATTGCCTATCCTTTGCCCCTTAATAAATAGCGCTTTCCGTCCCCCTTAATCATTTTATTTATGGGAAATAACTTTTATTAATAACAATTCCTGTAGACTGTGAATAAATTTCGACCATATCAGTTTGTCTCCAGTTTCATTTGTAATTTGTATGAGCTTCATAGTATTAGTTTTAACGTATACAATATTGTTTCTACGACTTAAAGTAATTTTGCTAGTATATGAAACCAATTTAGACCAAAAGGCCGGACATAATTACGCCTAGAAAATAAGTTAGAAAAATAACTGTAAAAATACAAATGATTATAATAAAATTTTAAAAATAAATTCGTCCTTTTGGCCCATCTAGAAAAAATAGAACATTTTAATATATCAGAAAATAAATGAAATCGGTTCGGTTCAACACTTTTGTAAATTCGCATTTTAGTCTTCAATTGAATACAATTTGGCACTTTCCTATAGCGCCATAATAATTAATAAAATATAATATGTTCAATAATATTAAACATTATATTTTAACAAAAAAAATGTATGACATTTTTTTGCATTTTTGTTGTACTGAAATACAGTTAGGGTAAAATATTTATGTATTTAGTACTATTATTTTCGGATTACGGAAAAATAACAATCATTTACAATAAGAATAACAATCTGCACGTTTACTGTAAATACATTTATTAATGAGATAAATTCTAATAATATTTTTTCATTGAGTTATTATTTTGTTGTTTTAAGACTTATTGGCAAGTTAGTTATAAAAAGTCAAAGTTTGCATTAATTTATTTATTTTTAGTGCGGAAAGTCGAAAGACTAAACCAATTATTATTAAGATTTTAAAACGACAATCTAAAAACCTTTAGAAACTATGATGAAGTAAAAAATAATTTAAGCACCCATACAGGCTGAAACAAGCGCCCACATAAGAGCAGCCAATATGGCCTGGTTATTTTTAATGTCTTAATACACTTAAGAGATTTGACAATAGTGGAATACCATACATGTTAAACGTTTAGTTTACTGTACGTAATTTAATACAAAAAATCTACAAAATATGTATAAGTAATTGTTGGAAAAAACTATGTATACCTCTCTTTCCTGTTTTGTTATCTTCCCAGCAGAGTTGACTGATTGAGTAAAAAATGTTAGACACAATAAAATAAAAAACTTCATATTCATAATTATTGTATTAATATTTTTTCGTTTTCAATAAGGCTATAAACTTTATCTTAAATCTGCTACACAATGATTCTTATGCTCAATAACAGGCAGTTTTATAGTAAATAGTTTTGGATCAAAAATATTTTAATGTTTACATATGTCAAAAAAATTCACACTACAGTTCACTTCAAAAAAAAATTTTACCGTAGAGTGGACTATTTGCTTAACATGACATGACTGTGTTGTTGAATCAATAGAAAACTTTTAGAACAACAATTTTCTAAACGTTTCTTCGGGACTATTTTTTAGTGTTATAAAGTTTGAATTGCAATCCAACAGAAAAGCCAAAATGAATATACGTAGGGTAGAGTGTTTGAAATCAGTTGACAACTACTAGATTTTTAATTGTGTAAACATTGGGGACAAAACCGCACAACGCACAAAAACTTGATTTTCTCATAATTTGATGAGAACAATGTATCTCAGTTTAAACATGGGCAACATTTTTTTTTTTTTAAATACTCTGTTGTTATAGTTTCGGAACGTCCAGTAAAACATCAAAATTCAATAAAATCGTATTTATTATCTGATAAACGCTATTCCTAATATATATATTTTGATTTATAGCAGATATCAAAATGACCAGGTTTGGGAAATAAGTTTTAGAATACGGCGTGACCTACTAAGTTATTTTTTTTACAACTGTTTTGTTATTTGGTTTCTTCAACGGTGCACAAATGTAATAATGATAAAAACTCATTGGAGTGTTCGCTATAATATTATATTCGAAGCGTGAACTTGACACGCACAATAAACTAGAAAACCCCAGGCAAGTTGTTTTCTTCTTTATTTTTTTATCATGTCCCTTACGCCTGTAACACATGTGTATGAACATAAAGTATTTTTTACCCATAAAATGACTTGTTATTCGGGCTTTTCTCGTCGGTGCAGAGTAAATAGCGACACTGTATTTTGTATCTCAACGTGAGGCATTTGTTTTGCGATGAGCTGTTTTTCTCTTGTATGTTTACCACCGAGCCAAATTGTATCTTAATATTTTTTTCTAACTGTATATAGCGTTCGCAGAATACTTTATATTCAACGGCATAATGTGCACATAAGTTTTACAATAACATGTTTTTTTGGGTCACAAAAAACCCGCTTTACGCTTACAGGCGGAATCAATCATTTTTCGTAGCAACTAAATGGCGTAACGCCATTTTAAGACTCAAAACTATTGACGTGTTCGTTCTTATAGACCACTAGGAGTTTTATACGATTTAAAAGCCTTAACTCAACCCGTACAATAGTTTTCAAAATATGTAGCAACCGTTTAGGTTAGGTATATTATGAACTTTTATATCTTTGGGAGATTTACATACATATCATATACATTCACATTTAACGTGTTATCCATTTTCATTTAGTATACCTTCAGTTATAATACATTTTCAAATTGGTCACGTGACGGTTTCAAATTTCCTAAACCGTTGTTTTTAAAATCAGAAAATGTACTCAAACGACGACGCGCCATATACAAATAAAAATTTAGAAATTGTTTAAAAAAAAAAAAACAGAGAATAACAATCTACATTATGATATTTATGCATGTGTTTGTATACCTACTAGTTTGCTCTTAAATCAAACCTCGACTACAAAATTTACAGTTTTCAAAACTTCATATTTAGGTCAAAGCAAACCTAGGGATTATTTAAAAACAAATTATTCAACACAATTTCAAATAATTATTGTAAAAGATTAAGATAATAATATTATTTGAAAGAAGGTCCAAATAGTAATTTCATATAAATTTCTATTCGAACACATTTGAAATAGGTAAACAAATTTTAAAAAGCTATTTAAATCAATTTAGAAAAATTAACTTTAAATAATTTGTATTATTATTGTTATTCGATCGTTGTAAAAATTATAGCCAGATATTTTTGCTTTATTCTTATTTTATGTAAAATAATCGGATTTTAATATTGAAAAGATTGCAAATTGAATTAATTTAATTACAAGAAACTGATATTTTTTAATGAAATCGGGCTTCCTGCATAACATAGTAAACTAGTCAAAGAACTCAATCTCGTTACAGAATTGAAATTGGACCATCCTATGTAGTCGAAAATTTGTCTTGATTTTTGGTCTAAAATAAAAGTAAATGGCTTTTACCAAAAAACAAATGATTTAAACTAAAAACAATATCTTGATTCTTATACGAATTAACCGGTAAAAGTATTGGAATGGTCAACATTTTTTTTAACCTCTTTTTTTTTTTAAATATTGTCTTTACAAAACTTCTTAAAGTCAGACCACGTGCAATTCCCTTATATAGCTTGGTGTACTAAGATACGTATTTAGAAAAGGAAATATCTGCAGATTGAGCAATACCTAATTTTTTTAATAGAAGAAGCTACCATGAACCCTTGCCAAGTCAGGGTCGGCGTGTAGAATTCTTTTACTTGTAATTCGTTGGAGAATTTATTAAACAAATTTTATAAAAAATATGCTTATGTATGTGTTTCAACTTTTTGTTAATTTATTTATGATGTACAACTTTAAAGCTCTGTGGTGAATGAATTGGTATATCTAATTTACCTACCATTTAAATGAATTGAATACTATATACTTAAACAAAGTGTATTATTATTTTATTGATGTATGATATATATAATAAATTATGTAAGTATCAAAAATTGCCAATATAAATAAAACAAAAATATATTAGATTAAAGTTTTACAATGATATTTAAATTATCATATTTAATTTAAAGAAATGAATGATTAAATGAAATGAAATAGAATTTAAACATACACAATAAGGATTATTTATAGATTTCAAATGGAATTTTCATATAAATAATTAAACGAATACTGTTAGAATTGTTTTTTTATTTTTCATGAGCTCAGGGTTTTTTTTAATGTTTGTATAAAACGCTTGCTATTTATATCCTTAGTACAACCAATTGTTAGTTATGGTATCACTATCACCATACTTATCGTCTTAAAATCATCCTTAATAGGTTAATTACATTTCTGTTATTGAAACCTATGTACTGTAACAATAATTTTGCTTATTTAGAACTTAATGTTTTGTGCATTCATAAATTATATTTTAGAAACATCCTTTTAAGTATTTACAAGTTTAAGCGTAATCTAGTTAGAGTTAGTCACTCCTATAATACTCGTTACAAAGAAAATGTAACATTTGTGTGCCTATCTTTAAAAAAACAACTTGGTCTAAAGAGCTCGTTATCTGCAGCTACTCAGATATGTAGACAACTTGCTATTAATATTGATAATTTTATTAATGTTTGTTTGTATAAATCATTTCTGAAAACTTTAAATTTCATGAAAATAGATTTGCTGTGAGAATGTCGAAAAATATAAAAATTACAATTATATTCTTTGTTGTTTTTATCAATTTATATATAACAGTGTTGTAATAATATTATATAGTTTATCTTTCTCACGAATTGTAATGAACTCAAACTTATAACCCCCCAAAACAAGCTTATGCTTAAAGGGGAGTTGCAAATACGTATCACGATTGTTTTTATTTATAAGTGTATTCATGTGTGTATGTTTTTGCTAAATAAAAAATATTATTATTATTATTATTTCAATCGTTTTTACAAAAAATATATTTTTAAACAATTGTATTTATTGATATTTCATAGAACATAAAGTATAGGTAATGAGCATAAACTAGTTAAGACAACTAATATTTGATTCATAAACAATAATAATCATATTTCTTTTATATTAGGTCTTTTGTATTTTATTGTATTTATTGTATTTAGTATTTTTTTTTTATTTAATTGTATTTAATTCGCTGCTCTCCCGACCAGAAAAGGATTCCAGGGCGCCAAACCACCCGTCCACTGGTGGACGGAAGAGATCGGTGGCCTGCGCGCGGAACGTGAGAAGCGGCCGGAAGAGGCATTTAATGCTGAACACTCAATATTTCTTAAGAAAATTGCAATTTTGTAGTCTTTTCTTTTTAAAAAAAATGTTGTTTGTGTTATTTTACAACATTATGGAACTATAGAAAATATTTGACTTTTTTGGGATTTAATATTGACACTTAAACCATAAATAGAATCGACTATGTCACCAGAAAGATTAAATAGTTTAGCCATATTAAGTATAGAGTAATCTGTAACCAAAACAATCATTAATTACGATGATATTAAATCATTTCCATCAAGTCATTCTCGCAGAAAATTTTAGAAAAACCCAGAAAGAAGCTAAAAATGTTTTAAAGTTATAAACGTTTTGAATACTTTTCTTGTTAATATTGTCAAGTTTTTTCTTAATTGTTATGAATAATATTATAATGGCTATGTCTGAGTTATCTATAATATATATATATAAAACTAAAAGTCCTGCCTGATTCATAATCAACGCACAGCCTAAACTATGATACCTATCGACTTGAAATGTTCAGGGTATGTTTGTATTATAGTCTTGGCGTGCAATAAGAAAGGATTCTGATTTCTGAATTATTTTTTTTAAGGGTTGAAATGGGCAAAAAAAAAAATTTAAGTAGCTGAATGTATTTTATATTTATGTAACTATGTATCTAATACTTAAAAATGCAACTTATAAAATAACATTTTTATTGACAATGTATTTAGAGTGATTTGACTCCATCTAAGTATTCGTTCACATCTAAATGTTTTTTCATAATGTTACATTTTTTTATATTTAATGAACTTCTCCAAAAGACTGCTGTAAATAGCTTTTCTGGATTAAATACTGGCCACGCCTGTTATATTTTATAAGTTTGTTTCGATCTTCATCAAACCCTTTAGGCCTATCATGTTAGAATACTTAAATAATACTTCTTTAATCAACCACTTAATATACTCTAACATCTCCATTTCAAAAACTTACCAAATAAGATTTAAAAAAAACCTTAATTTTGGTAGTTCTTGAGCCAGTTTTGGGCCAGTTTCTTTTAAGTCGTCTTAGAAGCCGGAATGGAGTGAAACAATTTGATCATACCAAAAGACCCTTTGTGATTATTCAGAGTCATATTAATTGTTTTGGTGTTTAAAGATTTTGCCGATCACCAGATAATAATACCATAAGTTCATATTGGGTTCAAAAGGGTAGTGTAAAGACTAAAGGAGCTTGTTTTTTATTGGTATTTTTTAGTTTAGAAGAGGTCTAAGCATATCTAGTCGATAGCTGACTGCTTTAAATGTGGTGACCCGGTTAGGATCTCGTTGTATAACTGTTATTGTGGTTGTGTATTGATTTAGAAAAGTTTTTATGTATGGGCTATTACTCATATGTTATTCACTTCGATACGAACCCGAGAAAAATAAAACGCCAAAAACAATGATAAATAATTGTGTATTTACACCTAATACTTCAATTGGAAACCTAAATTCGGGCCTCTGGTTGAAGAGTTCTGCAAACGTTTAGAAAAAATCGTTCTAGATAGAATAAAAAAAAATATTATTGGTATATTCCATTTAGTGCAAATGGTGTATGACTATCAGGTAACTGTTTAAACAAGCCTACAAAACATCACATCAAAATAATATGTTTTCTTCTTATTTCAATGAATAACACTTAAACTGTGTTTTCGTGTATGAAACTATATATACAATTTTTTGGAAAAGTAATAACACAAATAAAAAAACCATATATTGTTTTCAAAATGGTTTAAATGAATTAAAAAATAAAATAGTAAAATTATTCATGACCTGATGCAGGCCCATTTTTAGGTGCCCTTAATCTATCAATTATTGCAAGTGTAAAAAATATAATCCAGCAAAATTCTAATAGCAAAAGTTAAAATGATGTGCAATTTGGGGTAGAAGGAATGTTCAAAGTTGTACAAAACTATATGTATAGTGAGGCCACAAAATAAAAATATGAATACATGAAACTTTAATAGTTGTGTAGCTAGAACATCTTAATATTTATTCACAAAGTTGGAACATTCTTTAAACATAGTACCTACTACCTACCGATAAACATTGACAAAACCAAAACACATCATAAACCCTTTCCACTAAAAGAGATAGACATTTCTTCTTTTTTTCTCTTTTTCAAGCAAAGTTTTAGGGATTTAAGTTTGAAAATTAGACCGGAGGAAGATCTAGAACGAAACTATAACATGTACAATTTTCTCAAAAATCTACAGTGAAACTTTTTTCTGTTAAGGGCAAACTCCAAAAATAGAAGAAATCTTAGTTTTGACCGTGGTCAATTTCCAGATAAAGAGCATAATTGTCAATAGGTGCAATGCTTTTATCGATATTTGTATTTAATAATTCTAGTAGACCTGTGATCTTACCGTCCCCTATATGTCCTAAGCCAACTGTACTGGCTTTCTTTAACACCTATTTATTTTTTTATGATTGTATTTTACAATTGTGGGCCTATGTATTCTAACAACATCAGCGAAAGGTGTTTCCAAAACCGACAGACTTAGGTAAACGCATTAATACATTTTATAGGATGTCGATGAAGGTAAGTTTACAACAAGCAAGTTGAGAATTTGAATTTGCCTCCTAAAAACGCGCAACAGTTTACCGCCACTCTGCAGTGTACCACAACCTGTTGCAATCACTCGTTATCACACATACACTATCACAAATCTGTCTAGAAAAATTTCTTTTGTTGTGCAGTTTGCATTAAAATCACAATTAATATTAAATTCCAGTTTTGTTTCGACTTTTTGAGAATAACTGAGATTGCTATTTGTTCACTGAATTTCCGTGAATCGTTAAACTAGTTAAATTAGATTTAGCGCCATAGTAACAATTTGTTTTCAGCATTGTTGCTACGGTCCGATTCGTGAGAATCTTTAGATTTTAATCATAATATCTTTGTCGACTGCTGTGACCTAACCTAACGTATTGGGTCGTGTTTCGTTATTTGGTTTCGATTTGCGTTACAATTGAATTTTGCCTTGCCTGTTGATCATTTATTATAAGTTTTTAGTAGCAGCCCTGGACAGCAGTTTACGGTTCTACGTTGTGTGAGTACTTTCCACTTTGTATTTCTATTTAATTTACATTATTGCCGTGTTTCCATTGATTTAGGATACTGCTTGTTAATAAATATAATCATAATTTATATGTGTTTGTTTATTACTTATTATTTACTTGGAATCTGGTTGAATGACATGGGATCAACGCCACTTCAAATTAATCTATTCGGTCAAATGGGCTATCGTCTAGCTTTAATCTTTATTGTCATAACTTCTTACCTACAAGTCATACTTGTGTAACTTTGCGCCATTCGTCTAATTTTAATGAATTAAAATTTAGTTTTAAATGTTTATAAAATACAAAATATACCACTGAAAACTTTGTTGGATTTTTATTTTTCAAAATCATGTAAACTAAATTTTTCTTTATCATATCATTATTATAACTAAATAAAATAGTTAAAATTATGTAAATAAGTCATACTATTAATCCTCTATGCATGTATGGCACAGAAATACAACTAATGTCAAACGTTAATTTTACAGTTTGGAAACTGTATAATATGTTGAAAATTAAACAAGAAAATGATGACACAGAAGAACACTCCCATGAAGGATCGTTTGAAGTCATTGAAACTAAACCGTTAGATGTGCAGTTTAAAACCAATGAAATTTCTATAACAGAGGAGTATTTGGTAAAGAATGAAGACGACAATACTTATAAGTAAGACAATTTTATTACCTTTTTTTTACTAAATAAAACATTTAACTTTTGAAATGTTGTCGTCCTCTGTAATTAAAAAAAGAATTAATAAGTGATGTCCTAATTTATTTTCTAAATACCTAGTAATAATAATATTGTTTAAACAATTATTTTCGACGGTATAAGAAGTAAAGCGAAGTATGACCTTATCTTGAGTAACTCAATCCACTTATCTTTACCTTCTTCTATACTTTGCTTGTTTTTAATCTATTATAAATCATAAAGGCTTATATTATATTAAACATTAGAGTTTATTTATAACTTGTTAGCGAGCAGACAAGTTTTTCAGTAAAATAGATACTATTTTAAAAGTTATATAATATATGAATACTTTATCTCCAAAAAAATGAAACTGTTTATGGTATAATAGTGAGTAATAAAGAAATTTAAAATTTAAAGTGTATTAAAAAAAAAAAGATATTACTCTCCTTTTAGCTGATATATCTTCTATACACAACAGATATATGTATAGATAAAAGCCTGAATATACAGTAGAATAATATTTTGGGTTTTGTTAATAACTGAATTGACAAGCATAATAATATATCCAACAAGAAACTGTCGAATTGGTGAATGAAGCACAGTTTAAAATCAAAATATATTTAATTCAGTTGTTGGAAACTGATCATGTGCATCTAATTTATTTATTAATATTAAAAAAAAAAACCAATTACTTATATAGTTATTGAAATATAAAACCTCATGTATCCTAAAAGTTAGGTACCATGCTTTGTACACCGGATCGAGTTGAGTCGAGTGATATGGGATCAACGCCACTTAAAATTAATCTAGTCGGTAAAATGGTATATCGTCTTAACTTCTTACCTACAAGTCATACTAGTAGTTTTGTGTTATTCATCTAACAATTAGATTATAAATTGAGTAAATTAAAATTTAGTTTTAAATGTTTAAAAAAAAACTAAAGTATACCACTGAAAATTTGGTCAGTTTTTATTCGTCAAACAATGTAAACTAAATTATTCTTTATTTATTTTTATTGTATTCAAGCTTCGGCAACTTAGGACATTAGCTGTCTGCTTTATTATATCATTATTATTATTATATTTGTTACTAAAAAAAAATAGTTAAAATTGTGTAATTAAGTCGTCTTATTAAACCACGCATGCATATTTGACACAGAAATACAACTAATGTTAAATTTCAATTATAGAGTTTTGAAGCGGTTGAAAATTAAACATGAAAACGTTGAAACAGAAGTCATTGAACCTCAACCGTTAGATGTGCAGTTCATAAGCAATGAAGTTTTTACAGCAGAGGAGTATTTGGTAAAGAATGAAGGCGACAATACTAATGAGTAAGGCCATTTTATTACCATTTTTTTAAACCAAATTAAACAATTAAGGTTTTGTAACTACGTCATCCTCCTCAATAAACCCGTCGTTGGTATCGATGTTAGTGTTTCGCTAACATTAAACTTAAATTAGGAGCCGCTTGTTCATATAACAATAGATTGTTTTTAAACTACATCTACCTCTTATCAATATAATGTAAAATCAAAAAACAAAAAAAAACAAAAATTATTAACATCTATTTGTATGTATGATTACCGGTCAAAGTCTGCAGTACCGCATTATGTTAGCGTACGTTTGCACGAGACTTACCATGTTATATATTATGTAAATATATAGAAAACATTTATACATTATTTTTCATTCTTATATAAAATAGACAAAAAATGCGAACAAGGGTCATTTTTTATGATGAAAACTTTATTTTAACAGTTATAAAAAAAAATATATAATAAATACTGATGTTTGTTTAATTTTTATAAAATACCTTTTTTTTACAAACAAAAATTTATTTTTAGTTAAATAGAAAATTTTAATAAAGTCTAACCTTTTTCTTTTATTTATAAAATTATCATTCTTCGACACCTAGGTCATTAGCTAATAACTAACTTTTATTGGATATAACTAGATAAACACTTTTCCCTCAGTTGTACTACTCTAAGTTCATTAAATAGTTCAAAAATAAAAAAAACAACAATGTTAGCATGATGCTAACACGATACCAATCATGTTTAAAATTATAACGATTTCTACGATGGGATAAAGCTTTTATGTAACTAGATAAACACTTATACTTCAGTTGCACTTCATACATACAAGGTGTATCTTTATCATCTATTAAATTATTCAATGAGGTGGTGTATCTTTAAAGATACATGCTATTATAAAAAACTATTAAAAAAAAAAGTTTAGGGTTAAAAGAACTCTGTCATTAAAATGTCTCAAGGTACTTTTTAAAATGTAAAAGTGGACTTAAAACAGAGTAGAATTTTCAAGTATCAAATCTTGTGGGATTCGGACGTTTATTATCAGTATTCTAAAAAATATAAAGGTTACATTATATATTGTTGGATAAGTTTAAGCAACACAATCTAATAAAAATTGAGTTAATTGTAGATTTGTGTAGTTCATCTATAATTAATAAAATTAGTTTTAAAAATGATGCTTGTTTGATGTATTGTCCATTTAACATTAGTATTATGAATATTTGCTGTATAACATTAATATATATTTATCTTGTATAAATACATTTTGTTTCATACGTGTTGCAGTATTCATTTTCCGTGTAAAGCGACAGATACCACAAATAATATAATAAAAACCAATTCTGAGGAAAATATACACAAAATACGTCGGTTCGACTGCAATATATGTCATAGGAGGTATTCAACCAAAAGTCATATAATCCGGCATATTGCGAAGTCCCATTCCACTACTTCCGTGGAAAAGAAAGTGCCTCAAAAAAATGAAGTCAACCATCGAAACAGCAAAATCAAAGGGTATACTCGAAACAAAGTAGACCTACTTAATTGTGGTATTTGTCTAAAAACATTTTCATCAAAATCAAGCCTGAGAACACATTGGCGTATTCATACGGACGAAAAGCCCTTCAAATGCGATGTCTGTGCAAAAACATTCCGTCAAAGGGCTCACCTCAACAACCATAAAAGGATACATACTGGAGAGAAACCTTTTAGTTGCAATGTCTGTGAAAAAAAATTTGGTGATCAGTTTTCACTCAAAATTCATAAAAGGATACATACCGGGGAAAAACCCTTTGAGTGCAATGTCTGTGGAAAGTCTTTTTATAACCAATCTAACCTAAGAATACATGAAAGGATACATACCGGAGAGAAACCTTTCAAATGTGATGTCTGTGAAAAAACATTCAGACTACAAAATAATCTCAAAACTCATGAAAGGATACATACTGGCGAAAAACCATTTAGGTGCAATTTCTGTGAAAAAACATTTGGTCAACAAATTAATTTTAAAATTCATGAAAGGATGCATACTGGAGAGAAACCTTTTAATTGCAATGTGTGTGCAAAAACATTCCGTCAAAGGGCTCACCTAAACAACCATAAAAGGATACATACTGGCGAGAAACCTTTCAAATGTGATGTCTGTGAAAAAGCATTTGCTGATCGGTCTACCCATAAATCTCATAAAAGGATACATACTGGAGAGAAACTTTTAAAATGCGAAGTCTGTGAAAAAAAATTTGGTGATCAGTCTTCCCTCAAAACTCATAAAAGGATACATACCGGAGAAAAACCCTTTGAATGCAATGTCTGTAAAAAAACATTTGGTCACCAGGCTTCCCTAAAAACTCATGAAAAGATACATACCGGCGAGAAACTTTTTAAATGCGATATCTGTGAAAAAACATTTGGTAGACGAGATCACTTCAAAATACATGAACGCATACATACTGCAGAGAAGCCCTTTAAATGCGTTGTCTGTGCAAAAGCATTTGGTCAACAAATTCATCTTAAAACTCATGAACGCATACATACCGGAGAGAAACTTTTTAAATGCGATATCTGTGAAAAAACATTTGGTCAAAAAACTAATCTCAAGAAACATGCACGTATACATACCGGAGAGAAACCTTTTAGTTGCAATGTCTGTGAAAAAAAATTTGGTGATCAGTCTTCCCTCAAAATTCATGAAAGGATACATACCGGGGAAAAACCCTTTGAGTGCAATGTCTGTGGAAAGTCTTTTTATAACCAATCTAACCTAAAAATACACGAAAGGATGCATACCGGCGAGAAACCATTTAAATGCGATGTCTGTGAAAAAACATTCAGACAACAAAATAATCTCAAAACTCATGAAAGGATACATACTGGCGAAAAACCCTATAAATGCGATATCTGTGAAAAAACATTCAGTCAACAATCTTATCTTAAGAAACATTCACGTATACATACCGGAGAGAAACCATTTAGATGCGATATATGTGGAAAAACATTTGGTAGACGACATCACCTCCAAAATCATAAACGATGTCGCCAAAGTTTTCTCAATAGCCCTAAAGCAAAAGCACATCACTAGAGCCTCGTGCACGTCTTGTGACTATTTTTAAGTTTTAGTAACAATTTTTTGTTTAATAAAAAATTAATTTATAATATAAATAATAAATGTCCAAAAATTCTTAAAATAAAATTGCAATTTAATATTACACATAACTCACAATTTAGTTCCAGTTAAACAATACTGATTAAAACATTAACAGTTGCAATACTATCTATAGTTACAGTTATCCTACTTCGTCTTATTTATTTTACTTTATTTCTGGCTAGGGGTGTAGCGAGGTCATTGTTCCCAAGTCCATTCGGCCGACTGGCTTTACAAAAACAAAATGTACACGCACATAAACTAATTAGTAATTTTTTTTTCCATACTTTTTAATTTTCTTAATGTTTTTATGTTAAAATTTTAAAACTACTATTATATATACGAAAAAATAAGAATACTTTTAAATGGATATATTTATAAAAATAAATGCATTGGATACAAATAATGGTTAAATGTTATTTCATATTTTTTTTTAGAACCGCCATTGTTAAGACCATTTTTTAACAAATAATAATATAATTTTACTTAATACTAATAACGAATAACAAATATACGAAGTAAAACAGGGATGCGTATACTTTCGTCCCTAAGAAGGTATATTTGGCAGGTAGTTAATTCAACCGGCGCGGCAACTCGACTGTTGTTTTCCCTACCTGCCATTATAGTCTTTTTTTATTTTTGTAAACAATACGGACACATATCTAATTAACAATGAGAAATATAACATGGTAAATCTGAATAATAAGATAAAATAGATACAATATAACAGGGGTCGAATGAACCGGTTACGACCAAAAACCGCACATTTTATCGGTTTCCAGGTAAGTACCGGTGCCAGGTGAATACCGCACACTTATATTGGGTAATAAGAGGTACGTAATAAATGAATTGTTAACGCAAGGCTTCTAATGACATTCAAGAGACACCGCAAAAAATAATACGCTGAGAGATGTCATCTATAGAAAATAATACGATAATTGGAAGTAATGACGTAAGCTTAATAGGAGTATTCAAAATATTGTCCGTCCAATTGAAAAACAAGTTAGTTAATAGGCGCATTTTAATATTTTTAATACGTCATTTTGAATGAAATTGGGTTCATTTTTAGGAACACTTGTTTAAATGTTGGGAAGAATTTTTAAAGGACGGGGATCGTTTGAAATTTCTAAAAAACGTTAAAAATGATTTCAGCAAATAAAATTTTAATTATTTTTTTAAAATTTTTCAACATATAAATTGTACCAAAAAAATGTATTTTGAATATATTTATATATAATAGTTTATACGTCATTATAAAATGTGCGGTTTTTGAATACAGCAATGTTAAAAATTGTACGGTTTTGCCCTGTGTTTTATCATCTATATTTTGAAGTCAATTAACCAGTTAACTGTTATTAATAAAAGTAAAAATTTAACTTTATTTATACATGTTTATGTATAAGTTTTTTTGAACTTAAAGGTTTCAAGATGGATGTTATTTTTTTAAACTTTTTTGTGAACATTTCATCGAATGGAATGTACTAGTATGTGTTGTTTGGTATACGAATAATTATTGTGTATAATTGTTTTGCCTTCCTTTAAAACAATAACATCATTTTACACCTATACACTTTGCAATAAGTACTAAAAATATATAGGTAATACCTACATGCATTTATAAAATAAACAAAGATAACAGTTCAATAATAGGTAAACAGTTTTCTAGAGATAATAAAATATCGTTTTTCTTGTGGTGAAAAATATACATTCGGACTTCTTATCCGACTTTCAAAATGCCATCTGGAAAAGTTTTTTAAAAACAGCCTCGTTTGAGGCGTTCGCTCATTAATGAATAAAAACGAATAAAATGTGAAATAATTACTCCTTAATATGTCATGCTAGCAGCACAACTAACACCATTAATAATCGTATATTGTATACAAGTATTGTTAGTGTTGGCATTACTGAGAGGCGGTTTTTTTAACGGCGGCGATTTGTCGATATTTGTCCGGCGACGTTTTGTCGATTTTTTGTCCGGCGGCGTTTTGTCGTGTTTCCCTCTGCAGTATACCCCAACCTGTTGCAATCACTCGTTATCACACATACACTATCACAAATCTGTCTAGAAAAATTTCTTTTGTTGTGCAGTATGCATTAAAATCACAATTATTATTGAGTTCAAGTTTTGTTTCGACTTTTTGTGAATAACTGAGATTGCTATTTGTTCACTGAATTTCTGTGAATTATTCACTTTATTACTAGTTAAATTTGATTTAGCGCCATAGTAACAATTTGTTTTCAGCATTGTCGCTACTTGACAGCTGCTTACGGTTCTACGTTGTGTGAGTACCTACCATTTTGTATTTCTATTTAATTTAAATTATTGCCGTGTTTCCATTGATTTAGGATACTGCTTGTTAATAAATATAATCATAATTTATATGTGTTTGTTTATTACTTATTATTTACTTGGAATCTTGTTGAATGACATGGGATCAACGCCACTTCAAATTAATCTATTCGGTCAAATGGGCTATCGTCTAGCTTTAATCTTTATTGTCATAACTTCTTACCTACAAGTCATACTTGTGTAACTTTGCGCCATTCGTCTAATTTTAATGAATTAAAATTTAGTTTTAAATGTTTATAAAATACAAAATATACCACTGAAAACTTTGTTGGATTTTTATTTTTCAAAATCATGTAAACTAAATTTTTCTTTATCATATCATTATTATAACTAAATAAAATAGTTAAAATTATGTAAATAAGTCAGACTATCAACTAATGTCAAACGTTCATTTTACAGTTTGGAAACTGTATAATATGTTGAAAATTAAACAAGAAAATGATGACACAGAAGAACACTCCTATGAAGGATCGTTTGAAGTCATTGAAAATAAACCGTTAGATGGGCAGTTTAAAAACAATGAAATTTCTACAACAGAGGAGTATTTGGTAAAGAATGAAGACGACAATACTTATAAGTAAGACAATTTTATTACCTTTTTTTTACTAAATAAAACATTTAACTTTTGACATGTTGTCGTCCTCTGTAATTAAAAAAAATATTAATAAGTGATGTCCTAATTTATTTTCTAAATACCTAGTAATAATAATATTGTTTAAACAATTATTTTCGACGGTATAAGTAGTAAAGCAAAGTATGACCTTATCTTGAGTAACTCAATCCACTTATCTTTACCTTCTTCTATACTTTGCTTGTTTTTAATCTGTTATAAATCATAAAGGCTTATATTATATTAAACATTAGAGTTTATTTATAACTTGTTAGCGAGCAGACAAGTTTTTCAGTAAAATAGATACTATTTTAAAAGTTATATAATATATGAATACTTTATCTCCAAAAAATTGAAACTGTTTATGGTATAATAGTGAGTAATAAAGAAATTTAAAGTGTATTAAAAAAAAAAAGATATTACTCTCCTTTTAGCTGATATATATTCTATACACAACAGATATATGTATAGATAAAAGCCTGAATATACAGTAGAATAATATTTTGGGTTTTGTTAATAACTGAATTGACAAGCATAATAATATATCCAACAAGAAACTGTCGAATTGGTGAATGAAGCACAGTTTAAAATCAAAATATATTTAATTCAGTTATTGGAAACTGATCATGTGCATCTAATTTATTTATTAATATTAAAAAAAAAAACCAATTACCTATATAGTTATTGAAATATAAAACCTCATGTATCCTAAAAGTTAGGTACCATGCTTTGTACACCGGATCGAGTTGAGTCGAGTGATATGAAATTATATAAAGTTTAGTTTTAAATGTTTAAAAAAAAACTAAAGTATACCACTGAAAATTTGGTTGGTTTTTATTCGTCAAACAATGTAAACTAAATTATTCTTATTTATTTTTATTGTATTTAAGCTTCGGCAACTTAGGACATTAGCTGTCTGCTTTATTACATCATTATTATTACTATATTTGTTACTAAAAAAAAATAGTTAAAATTGTGTAATTAAGTAGTCTTATTAAACCATGCATGCATATTTGACACAGAAATACAACTTATGTTAAATTTCAATTATAGAGTTTTGAAGCGGTTGAAAATTAAACATGAAAACGTTGAAACAGAAGTCATTGAACCTCAACCGTTAGATGTGCAGTTCATAAACAATGAAGATTTTACAGCAGAGGAGTATTTGGTAAAGAATGAAGGCGACAAAACTAATGAGTAAGGCCATTTTATTACCATTTTTTTTAACTAAATAAAACAATTAAGGTTTTGTAACTACGTCATCCTCCTCAATAAATCCGTCGTTGGTATCGATGTTAGTGTTTCGCTAACATTAAACTTAAATTAGGAGCCGCTTGTTCATATAACAATAGATTGTTTTAAACTACATCTACCTCTTATCAATATAATGTAAAATCAAAAAACAAAAAAAACAAAATTATTAACATCTATTTGTATGTATGATTACCGGTCAAAGTCTGCAATACCGCAATATGTTAGCGTACGTTTGCACGAGACTTACCATGTTATATATTATGTAAATATATAAAGAACATTTATACATTATTTTTCATTCTTATATAAAATAGACAACAAATGCAAACAAGGGTCATTTTTTATGATAAAAACTTTATTTTAACAGTTATAAAAAAAAAATATATAATAAATACTGATGTTTGTTTAATTTTTATAAAATACCTTTTTTTTACAAACAAAAATTTATTTTTAGTTAAATAGAAAATTTTAATAAAGTCTAACCTTTTTCTTTTATTTATAAAATTATCATTCTTCGACACCTAGGTCATTAGCTAATAACTAACTTTTATTGGATATAACTAGATAAACATTTTTCCCTCAGTTGTACTACTCTAAGTTCATTAAATAGTTCAAAAATAAAAAAAACAACAATGTTAGCATGATGCTAACACGATACCAATCATGTTTTTGAAATTATAATTAGGGTTAAAAGAACTCGGTCATTAAAATGTCTCAAGGTACTTTTTAAAATGTAAAAGTGAACTTAAAACAGAGTAGAATTCTTTACTGCTTTATATTTGCTGCATAACATTAGTATATATTTTGATCTTAGATAAATACATTTTGTTTCATATGTGTTGCAGTATTCATTATCCGTGTAAAGCGACAGATACCACAAATAATACAATAAAAACCAATTCTGAGGAAAATATACACAAAATACGTCGGTTCGACTGCAATATATGTCATAGGAGGTATTCAACCAAAAGTCATATAATCCGGCATATTGCGAAGTCCCATTCCACTACTTCAATGGAAAAGAAAGTGCCTCAAAAAAATGAAGTCAACCATCGAAACAGCAGAATCAAAGGGTATACTCGAAACAAAGTAGACCTACTTAATTGTGGTATTTGTCTAAAAACATTTTCATCAAAATCAAGCCTGAGAACACATTGGCGTATTCATACGGACGAAAAGCCCTTCAAATGCGATGTCTGTGCAAAAACATTTAGTCAAAAAACTAATCTCGAGACACATGCACGTATACATACCGGCGAGAAACCGTTTAAGTGCAATGTGTGTGCGAAAACATTCAGTCAAAGAGTTTACCTCAACAACCATAAAAGGATTCATACCGGAGAGAAACCATTTAGGTGCAATTTCTGTGAAAAAACATTTGGTGAACAGTCTACCCTCAAAATTCATGAAAGGATGCATACTGGAGAGAAACCATTTAATTGCAATGTGTGTGCAAAAACATTCCGTCAAAGGGCTCACCTAAACAACCATAAAAGGATACATACTGGCGAGAAACCTTTCAAATGTGATGTCTGTGAAAAAGCATTTGCTGATCGGTCTACCCATAAATCTCATAAAAGGATACATACTGGAGAGAAACTTTTAAATGCGAAGTCTGTGAAAAGAAATTTGGTGATCAGTCTTCCCTCAAAACTCATAAAAGGATACATACCGGAGAAAAACCCTTTGAATGCAATGTCTGTAAAAAAACATTTGGTCACCTGGCTTCCCTAAAAACTCATGAAAAGATACATACCGGCGAGAAACTTTTTAAATGCGATATCTGTGAAAAAACATTTGGTAGACAACATCACCTCAAAAATCATGAACGCATACATACTGCAGAGAAACCCTTTAAATGCGATATCTGTGAAAAAACATTCAGTCAACAATCTGATCTTAAGAAACATTCACGCATACATACCGGAGAGAAACCTTTTAGTTGCAATGTTTGTGAAAAAAAATTTGGTGATCAGTCTTACCTCAAAACTCATAAAAGGATACATACCGGAGAGAAACCTTTTAGTTGCAATGTCTGTGAAAAAAAATTTGGTGATCAGTCTGCCCTCAAAATTCATAAAAGGATACATACCGGGGAAAAACCCTTTGAGTGCACTGTCTGTGGAAAGTCTTTTTATAACCAATCTACCCTAAGAATACATGAAAGGATACATACCGGCGAGAAGCCATTTAAATGCGATGTCTGTGAAAAAACATTCAGACTACAAAATAATCTCAAAACTCATGAAAGGATACATACTGGCGAAAAACCCTATAAATGCGATATCTGTGAAAAAACATTCAGTCAACAATGTGATCTTAAGAAACATTCACGTATACATACCGGAGAGAAACCATTTAGATGCGATATATGTGGAAAAACATTTGGTAGACGACATCACCTCCAAAATCATAAACGATGTCGCCAAAGTTTTCTCAACAGCCCTAAAGCAAAAGCACATAACTAGAGCCTCGTACACGTCTTGTGACTATTTTTAAGTTTTAGTAACAATTTTTTGTTTAATAAAAAATTAATTTATAATATAAATAATAAATGTCAAAAAATCATAAAATAATTTTTGCAATTTAATATTACACATAACTCACAATTTAGTTCCAGTTAAACAATACTGATTAAAACATTAACAGTTGCAATACTATCTATAGTTACAGTTATCCTACTTTGTCTTATTTATTTTACAAACTGAAAATTAAAGTTAAATAACAATTAAAACAGTTTAATTAACCAACAATTAACAGTTGAAAAAAGTTATAGTGTAGTTCACACAGTTATTAGGTCAGATTGAAGGTGGACAGATGGGTTTTTTTTACCAGTGTGCACGTGTTGGTATTTTAGGAACCTTGTTTTTAGAGAAAAACATTTTAAACAAACAAAACACATTTGTAGAGCTTTTCGCCTGTGCGTACGCGTTCATGTCGTATGAGGTTAGATTTTGTAATAAATGACTTTAAGCACACAGCACATTTATATGGTTGTCTGATGTCTTTTTTGGTGAAACCCTCGGTATACTTAGTGTGAAGAATAGTTTTTCGAGGACAATGTTTGTTAATTGAACTTTTGTGGGGTTTCATTATATGTACAGATATTTGCTTTTTAGTGTTTTAACTCGTATTGTCACATTTATAGAGCTTTTCTCCAGTGTGCACGCAGCGTTTGTGTCTCGTGAGATTGTGTGAATGAGAAAATGACCTGGAGCACACATTACATGTGTAGGGCTTTTCGCCGGTGTGTACGCGATTGTGTCTTGTGAGGTTTTGTTTATGAGAAAATGACGTTAGGCATACATCACACTTGTATGGCTTTTTCCCAGTGTGCATGCGTTTGTGTGATGCGACATTTGAGATACAGGAAAATGCCATCGAGCACATATCACATTTGTAAGGCTTCTCTCCGGTGTGCACGCGTTCATGTACTGTACTAAGATTACTCTGCGGTAGTATTTGATTACTCGTACCATTGAGACTATAACACAACATTGTCAAACAATAATCAATAAAGGTTTTAAACGATAAATCTTCTTACTATATTGTATTATTATTAGGTATTATTATTTTATTGTAAAATCTATTGTTAACTAAGTAAATAAGAAATGTGCTGATTGTACAAAAAAACCAGCTAAACAAATGACTTGTAGGTAAAAAGCTATGACCATAAAGATTAAAGCTATACGATAACCCATTTGACCGAATAGATTCATTTAAAGTGGCGTTAATCTCGTATCACTCAATTCAACTCCGAGTAAATAATAAGTAATAAACAAACACCTATAGACCATAATTCTATTTAATAACAAGCAGTATTCTAAGTCAATGAAAGACAGGAAACACGGCAATAATGTAAATAAATTAGAAATACAAAATGGTAGGTACTCACACAACATAGAACCGTAAACCACTGTCCAGAGCTGCTACTTAAAATGTATAATAAACGAATTACAGGCAAGACAAAACTCAATTGTAACTAAATAACGAAACACGATGCAATACGTTAGGTAGGTATTTATCACAGAACTCGACCAAGTTATTATGATAAAAATCAAGAGATTTTTACGAATCGGACGCGTAGCAACAATAATGTAAACAAACTGTTGCTACGTCGCTAAATCCAATTTAACTCACAGTTATAATTCACAGAAAGGAGAGAGTAAAATTGAAATCCCAATTATTAACAAAAAACAAAATTTATATTTAATGTAGGTTTATTAACGCAAACTACAGGACATCTCATAGTCACATCACAAATATTATCTAGACACATTAGTGATAGTGTGTGTGTGATAACTGATAAGTGATAACGAGTGATTGCCACAGGTGGAGGTACACCGCAGCATGGAGGTAAACTGTCGCGCCTTTCATGAGGATAACAGATAAAACCCAAATCCGGTTTTAAAGGCAAGCAGATCAAATTGCCAACTCGGGTTTCAAAGCTTCTTGTAAATTAGGTATTTTACCTAATTATTAATCAAAAGCACCAAATTTTTTTATCCTTGAAATGTAATAATTTATCACAATGCACTGTACTATGTACACAAACAAAAAATTCAGAAATAACAACATCGAGTTTATCAATATTGCGTACATTTATATAGATCATAAATCATTCTTCTTGTAGGAATATAGGTCTACTGTAATATTAGCAAGTCTAGCTGTATTTTTCTTTATTTGTGTTTTTTTTAGACATCATTACTGTTAAATATCACTAGCGGCTGTTTAAATGTTTTTTTTAAACCTACTCATACAAAATGGAGATCTGAGAATTTGGGTGTAATTGTTGTACGTATATTATCTTTTGTTTCATATTAGGTAATGTTTAACTATTGACTATAGTATGATTACTCTCGCTCATAAGTTTTATAATAAAAACTTCTATGACGCTAAAACAATTATGAACTAAAACGTGTACAGTACAATATATACAATAGACTGGAAAATGGTAATGTATTGATTAGGATTTAGGTCTCTGGTGGCATATTTATTGACCTGACTTGTTAACAGTTAAATTATTCCTACCTACGACCGCGACCTGAAGTACTTACAACGATAATAACCGGAGTTCCAGCTAAAACAGGTAAATTTTTGTAGCACTCTTGAAATCTTGCAACAACAACACATTTAAATTACATTAGGTACAATTGAAATGTTAGTGACAGTATTTCTACAAATAGTGTGTATGAAATAGAAATCACATTTCGGCGAAAATGAGATAAATTTACCTCGAAGCCAGTCGTTTTCCAAACGTTTTCTCCCTCCTTGTACTGGCATAGGAAGATCTCTCATTGTCTTGTAAAATTTAAGTTTTGTTACTTTTATTTTAATTTTATTTTCTTTGACTTTTCTCAAATGACCGATTCAATTTATTAGGTAATGAAAAAAATGAATACGCTCGCAGATTCAGATTGGTCAACTCGTTATAAAATAAAATTTACAAATATTAAAATATTAAAATTTGAAAAATAAGTTTTTAAAAATATTTTTTTTTATATGAATTAATTGTACCGTTTAATCTACAGAAAGCATGCAACAGGGTACACTCGCAAGCGCTAAAATTTGACAATAATATAATCAAATATTCAATTTTTTTATAACAAATATTAATAGATCCAGACAAGTTTTTTTTTTTTAATTTAATAACGATTCTAAATTGATATTGGCAGGTCAATCACGCTATAACTGGCTGTCGGCGATCATGACAAATATTGGGGAAATAATATCAGAACACAGAAAAATCATGAGTGTGACCGGACAGTAGAGAATATTATAAAAAAAACTATCTATCGTAGTTTACCAAATAATTTGTGCAGTAAAAAAAAATAAATGTTTGGTAAGCAGAATTTACTGGTAGATCTGCATGCATACAATACAGTGCAATTTAATCAGCAATCAGCATTTCTGTCAGTATGATGTTATAACAGAGACAAGAGCTTTAAATATCATCTGTTATCATAATATTCATTATGTATTAAATGTCTTGTACTCGTATTATTAACCGCCAAACTACAAAAAAAAAATAGTATAGATTATCCAATGTTTATGACTATAATAAGCAATATTATTGCTCGTGTTATTATAATAATAATAAATAGGTCTGTATGAACATTTTGTGATTTAAACGGTAATTAGTATTACCTAACGTATAAGTATTATAATATTGTAGACGTTACGAATAAACAAATAAAATAGACATTTATTGTTTAATTGTTACAATGTTACCCACTGAAGTCACTCAAAAATTGAAGTAAATAAATAATAATTTAAATTTAATTATTAAGTGTTTCGTGTTTTGTACAGTTTTGTTAACTGCTCAAATGCATACCTATTCTGATCATAAAAATACTAATTTACAATCATTTTTTATACCTAGCTACTTTACTGTAATCTGTTAAACAAGATGTACACAATAATAACTATTTACAACAATTATTAATGTTCAATTGGAAAACCTATATGTGTTGGATTGTTAAGGAAAAAAATATAAAAGTTATAAAAGGGACGGCTCATATTTGAAAACATTGCAGCTTTAATGGATAGGGGGGGGGGGGGGTTCGTAGTGGCCGCAAAACCCCAGTGCCAACTTTTTTTAAAAAAGACTTATTTTTAGAGATTTCAATAAGCTTTCCAACCTCATTAAAATTATCTTATCTCTGTTTGGCCAATGTAGCGGCGTATCGATAACACTAAGGCAACAACTGACAACATTATGTACCTACCTAAATTTCCTACCGATGTAGGAGATAGGAATTTAATCTATTTTTTTTTTTTTTTTCACGTTTAGCATTTCAGGTACAGTTTTATTTAAAATCGGGGATTTGTTTTATTCGATTGTAAGCTTTTTATTTTACATTGTCTTTTTAATTGAAAATTTTGTTTTGTATCTTATTTATGTTTTAGATAAACTAATTTAAAAGTAACTAAAAGATACATTTATAATCTACACTGTAATACACGCAAAACAATTATGGAAGTTATTGTGCAAGAACACTTCGAAAAAATTTACCAATTCTATGAGTAAGTATGAGTGTAATTGTACAAGTATTATTTATTACCGAATAATGTTTGTATTTTCATTGTGCCCTTTCAAATAATATTGCGGAGTCCTGGGGTATAGGTATGCACTTTTTCCTTTAATATATGCAAATGATCATTTTATCGTGATTCACTCAATATCAAAACTGTTTGCAAAAACTATGAACCGATATCACAAACCTATACCCGATAAAACCAATATTCATTATTACCTGCCATTGATTATTATGGTCCAATCATCGGTTTCCAAGTAAAACCGATATCACTTGTATTGTCAGCTATCGAGTATTGGTTCAAATTCAATTTTTTACAATTTTTTTGTATGTATCTTTACCAAATTAGTTTTTTTGAAACTTACTTTTGTAACGTAAACATTATCGCATTAATTTCATTTACGTTTTGAAATAAGAATAATGTAATTAGGATTTTGACTGGTTGATAACCAGTTTTGGATAACTATTTTTCAAGTTATCAGAGTTTCAAGACAACAAAACATTGTTTTTGAAAAATTGCGATCACATTTTATAAAAACATAATGAAAAAAAATGTCTAATAACAAATCTTAAGTAATATATATTTATATATATATATATATTATTAATACTTTTACTATTATTATATTAGATGGAACAATAATTGAAAATGTACTTTTTTTGTCAATATAAAACAAATTATGCTAATTGAATTTTATAAATTAATACGAATACTTTTTTTTAGGGAAAAAGAATTTTGTGATGTAACCTTGGTTACTGATGAAGGCTTAAAAATAGAAGCTCACAGAAATATATTGGCTTCTGCGAGTCATGTATTTTATACGATGTTCAGCGGTCAGTTTAAAGAAAGAAACAAAAATGAGATTCTTATAAAAGAAATAGATTCTGAAATTTTAGAATTGGTGGTGAAATTTGCATATACTTGTAAATTGGATATTAAAGAAAACAATTTTCAGGTAGAAGAAATGCAATAGGATATACAATTTATAAAATATTTCTCGATTTTTTTATTACTTGTTATTCAATTTTTTAGAAACTGTTAATGGCTGCCAATATGTATGGTCTAAATCATATAAAAAAGTTATGTTTTAAATATATTAAAGAAAACATAAATCCTACAAATTGTGTTAGTTTTATGAAAACTTCTAAATTAATATCATACGAAAAGATTTACAATTTTTGTTGGTCATATTTTTTAAACAATTTCACGTGAGTTATCAGGGCGGCATATGTTCGCAACAATTTTTTAAATATTCAACTAATAATAGAAAGATTTGTTTTAGTACAATTGTGAATTCGGATCAAGCATTAGAAACACTTTATCACTTTGAGTTTGATGATGTTGTCGAGTTTATTACATGTGATGGTTTAGTAATTGATTCTGAGGAAAAGGTATAATTATTGTAACTTAAAATGAAATAAAAAAATTACTTATTTTAATATTGGTTCTGTCACAATTATTTAATAATAATTTTTGAGTTTATTTTAGATATTTGATTTTATCATTGGTTGGACACGCTATAACACAGATGAACGTAATGACTTGTTACCGGATCTTATGAAATATTTACGTTTGTCTTTAATTTCAAAAGAAGGACTACAAAGGATTTATAATGAACCATTAGTGAGAAATAATATTGATGGTAAGTATATATTGTTGATTTTCCAATCGGGTCAACATTCAATCTAAATTGTGCCATTTATTTATACATACAATAGCGCCTATAGGTGAAATATATTATTGATGTCTCTTTTAAATAAATATTATTATTGTTATGGTGTTTTAGTTATGAGAGGCATGTTAGAAAATATAATTTCTTACAACTCAAAACCATTATATACTCTAGGAAGATGTGCTCAAATTGAATCATCAAATGTATGTAGACATTTTATAAAATAGATTTTTACATTGTATAGGTACACAATAATTGTACTAGTTATGTGCTTGTATCACCTGACATTTGTATGTATGTGTATACAGATTATTTTTGCAATAACTGGTGATTCAAACAGTGCCGGTTCCCGTGTAAAGTATATGGATATTAGAAACGATAAGATGGATGACTTAATCCATAGTATTTTCGAACTTCAAGTTCGAAAATCGAACATTTCTTTTTAGTTAGTAACATATTTACAAACCGATATGGGTGTGGTGTTTAATTTTTTTTTGTGTGTTTTTCAGCGCACAGTCTTTACAAACAAGTAGGTATGTTTTCTTTTTACACGTATTCCATTTGGTTGTTCGTGTTTTTATGTGTTTGAACTATTTTCTTGCACGTTTGATGGTACTGTATATTTACATAAGTTATAGCGGATACTTATTTGGTACCTTTGTGTTTCACTATCGTTGTAGTGTTTAGAATGATTTTATTTGTCATTTCTCCCCTAAGGACATGAAACTACATGCAATTAGAGTTGGACGCATAGAAATTATAATAATATACAACTAGAATTTTTAGTTTTAGTTAAAATCCCCTGGTTCTATAGAATCCAACTATATATAGGTATTTTTTTCCACATTATATAATTATACGCGTAAGGTTAGGTTACGCTTAACGCGTTTTCTCAAAATATATTGTACTCTGTGCAATGTAGCTCAATCAATTTTAATTCAATTGACATGTGGTTGGACGAATTTTTTTCTCTAACTTATTGGCCTTGGCGCCGACTAAAAGTGCATTAATTATTATTACTCAATAATAATACATATTGTTTGTTTTAAATTTTGTAAGCAAAAAATAGATATTTTTCTTTAAAAATGACATAACATTTTTAAAATAATTTTTTTTTTTAATTTTAGGTTCATGCAAAGCGTATAAACGTACATAAAAAAAATGTTGCAGTAGGCTTTACGGTGAAAATCGAAAAGCCTGTTTCAATAAGCTGCAACACCGCCATTTTTACGATGTTCAATTTTTTTTATAAAATACTTTGCATTGACAATTTCATGATGTAACTTATTTCATTTTAATAAATCTTACCATTTCTTCAAAAACAATTCTGAAAAAAATATATGTTTACACGACCTTCGCCCCTTAATGTATTCACATAGGACAATATTATTCTCTATAATTCTAGGAGGTCCCTAAATTAAAGTTTGGATATTACCGAATTAATCGTCTAAATGCAATTATTATTCTGAGGCCAAAATTGTTTTATGATTATTTTCCTTTGAAATAATAATTTTTTAATAAAACGAATATTATAAAGACACTTAACTGGCTTTACAAAATCAGCAGCAAATTATAATAAGAACTCCGAAAATCATACTTATGTAAACTGATTTTACATACATTTTGTTCAGGCAGTGTTTGGAAAAAAATTTATTTGGTTGCCATTTTATTCAAACGTGTACTCAGCATAATACATAAAAGAACGGTTACATACCTCCTTAAATTCTAAGCCATGCAAGCTATAGTTTTTGTGAGTTCGCACAAATCTAACTTAAATGGTAAATTAAAGTTTAAAATTTAAGAGAAAGTTCAAAACAATTTATCCCAAAATTGGTAAATTAATTTTTAACATAAACTATAAGTTTAGAAGTTTGATAGAGCTCGGGATAATAAACAGTAAATGTAGAGTAATTTTATGATATTGTAAAATAACATAAACGAAACTGTATTTTAAAAAATTAATAACTATAAAGTTCATTCGGATGATTTTTGGATATATCCACGTCAATAGTTATAGGCCGACGTTTCAGACTCATTGCAGAGTCCATCTTCAGAGCGATAACGGTCTCGACTGTTCAGCTGCTGTGACCACACTGACTGCCCCGCTCATTCCTTACCGCAATTTATACGTGCCGTGTCCTTGATGCCATGTTTCTCGACCAATGGGGATCGAGCAATGTGATACGACAATACGCTCGATCCCCATTGGTCGAGAAACATTACATCAAGGACACGGCACGTATAAATAGCGGTAAGGAATGAGCGGGGCAGTCAGTATTGTCACGGCAGCTGAACAGTCGAGACCGTTATCGCTCTGAAGATGGACTCTGCAATGAGTCTGAAACGTCGGCCTATAACTATTGACGTGGATATATCCGAAAATCATCCGAATGATATATCAATCCACAAAGCTTTAACGCATTCATAACTATAAAATTGCAATTATTTTAGATGGTATTGAGTGTCTCTTACACTCACTCAATTAATCCTTGTTGTGGAAACTGTTAATCGTTACACTTTTTGATGGAATATTACCATAACTCATTGCGGATAATAAAACAACAGTAACCTGTAGATATTGAACGTTTTATTTATTTAATTTTAGTTTAAAAGAACCGTTTACAGTAACGTCAAGTATTTATATAATAATGTTGTTTATATATTTTTTTTAGTATAATGTAAAATTTAATGTTATATGATAAATAATACACACATTTTATATGTTGCCAATGGTTAACAACTAATTCGAATAGGTTTTTACATTGGTTGTTAATATTATTAAGTTTTCGTAGCTACCATGGTCAGGTCTTGATAATATAATATTGACTGGCAATAGAATACATTATTATAATATTACCTGCTACACACTTAATGAAGCTTCCACGTCTAGGTACTTCATGATCGATCGGATAACTTTGAAATCGACCAAATAGAATGATTTCTCCAAATCATCGATGAAAGCCATTGCGTATTTAACGCTATTCAATTCGATGACTGCCTGGCCAAACGTGCTCTGATCCGCGCTTGAAGAGAGCTCGTTCGCGTCTAGAACCATCGGGTTGGTGGCCTTGCATTCGAGTATAACGTCAATTCTGATCAGCTTAATTCGGAACTGTTCTTCAACGTATTCTATATCCACGACGTTGCGGCCGAATTTTTCGATGGTGACCAACATAAACTTGACGTCCAGATCGTCTTGGAGGCATAACGGTTTCAGGATTTTATCCACCAGCAAGTCCTGCCATATTTTTAAGTGATTTTCTCGACGTTCACCTGTAAACGTATTAACCAACGACAAAAATCTCCACGTCAACCGGTACACGATACATACGAATAGACTGAAGACCGCTTTGTAATATCTTTTGAAGCTAAAGAAAGGGAGTAATATAGCAGTGGGGGAGTACATTTTGACGGCGTTTTTATGAGCTGTTTCAAGCACACGAGACGTGCCGTCCCAACGCACTTGCAAGTCATACGAGTACATCAGCTGGTTCATGATCAGCGGGTTGAGGCCCAGCTTGTTGACGAACAGCTGTCTGTATTTCAACGATTCGTACCGCGCCCCGTACGCGGATTCTGTGGTGTTCGCTTCCAACAGTACGTTCAGCTGTTGGCAGTTGAATTTGATCTCCGTCCGGATATCCTGCCGCGCGCCCCTTATTTCATACGAGTCAAACTGGTCGTTGGGTCGACAATTGGCAGCCGTCATTTCCACTTGCATTCTGCCCGCCACATAATCGTGATTGACCATCAGTCTGTAAACGGCCGCCGTGCGTTCATCTTCGTTTGCTTCTTTGAAGATATGCTTGTCGTAGTAAGACTTCACCGTGTTCGCGTACAATAGTAGCAGCCATAACGAGCCGATTTCCACGTCGGCCACGTCGTACAGGGTGCATATCACCGCCCGGATGTCGTAAATGCTCATGAGGCCGACCGGGGTTTTGGTAGGAACGTTTTGGTCTGCCAGCATGAGTTGCACTAACCGCATGTGTGTGAGTCCTAAAAAAAGATACGTGCATTTTAAATCTTTGTACTGGGCTGCCGTCGACGGATTTTCATTCGTGCCATATCTGTAACCGGTATCCAGCGACAGTACCGGTGTGCTCAAAGAGGCCAGGAGGCTCAACAAGGCCACTAGGCTCAAGTTGATCGTCGTTGGTGATAATTTCGAGAGCGTCATTTCAATCCGCATCTAGTTTCGATACTAAATTGTTACTAAACTGCAATGGTTTTTTGATTTTTCGGATTCAAACCTCAGGCGTCAAATTTAATTTACAAAATTTATGTTTTGTCAATAACCCCATGTTGGCTTACAGCACACATACACGCTTGGCGTTATATTTAGAAAACTTTTATTAGCTTCGATGCGGAGCGGCGAAAGTATTGGTTTTACTCTGATGTGGGCTTTTTTTTTATCTGTATACGCTGTAACTTTTTTAATACTGTCGTATACGCACTTTGGTACACGAACCGTTTAACACACACACACTGTAAATAAAATTACTTATTACCTTTTACCTAAACACTAAGGTACTTTTTAGTAAGTACGCATAAAATGTGGCAGAGCTCTAGTCACCTCCCGGATTGTTTCTGCCTCAGGTGTTTTTCCATCCAACGATCAAGCCTCTGCTTATAAATAGTATAATGCCTCAGGACAATTATAATATTGTCTAGCTTTATAACTATAATAAAACGGTTGGTAGCTTGAACGCAAGTACTGACACTCTTGTTGAAAGCCATACCTCATTATATGATTTGAATATCCGAGTACCTATAAAAATTCATAAAAGTCAAAATCACTGTGGCTCTTGTCGTTACAATGATTTATTAAGTTGCTTTTTACGAAAAAACTATTGGTATCTATTTGTGAAGCCCCGTTATAAACTATAGATACAAAGTTAACTACACAAGGCTCCAACCACACCACACACAATAATATTACAATAATTAAAATAATTCAGGTGACTAGTGTAACGGGTGCTTATTTTACTAAAAGTGGAATATTTACGAAATAATCTAATAATCTAATTTATTGTGTTAAGTTTGAATTTCAGACTATCAGCTCTACGTAAAGCTTTTATTTTTAATATAGATCATTATACCAAATTGAAAAACTTGTAATTTCAATACAAATTGTCTTACAAAGAGTCACTCGATTTACCATTTTTAAAGCTAATTAAAAATGTATAATTTTTTTTCCTAATTAATCATTAGCAATAATGATACAGGGGATGATCTATTTGTTGTAAGACACTCATTTGCTCGGGAAAAATAAATATTTCGAATATTATTTTTTTATATAGGATTAGTTCCCAATTAATTTGAAAATTTTACCTTAACGCGTAGTACTATAAAATGCCGTTTAGGAGTTTCAAGCTATTATTTTCAATATCTGTGTATAATGCGTGCGTGTTCATTTATTATTTGTTAACATATACGAACAATAACACACGGTATTGACTTTTAAGACGTGACGATTTCATATTTTTTTTTCCATATTAGTTTTTTACCGAGAAATTAAAAGGAGTATCCGAACACTATTTACCGTCTTTTCGATTTACTGCACCCCAATCTTGCTATAGAATATAATACAAATGTGTATTAAAACGTACTAAATAGGTACGTTTTAATATACTGTATCGAAAGGTGGTAGAACAATAAATTGAAAAGATTTACAACATACAAGGTGATTCATCTGATATAAGACACTCGTTTTCTAGAAATATATGAACATTTTAAAAATAGGATTTAAAAATTATACATTTATCTTCGTCATCTATACTTAAAACAAACACGGACTTCGTTTTTTTTTCCAACGAGAAATATATTTTTAATTCCATAAATAATATGTAGACACTAAAAGTTAAAACAATTTAGAGTTTGAATTTTTAATTTTTATGATAATTATATGACTTTATAAAGATAATACATTTCATCGTATTTTTCAGTTATCTAAAAAAACAGTAGCCTTTAAAAATGTTTGGTTAGATATTTATGATTTTATAGTACACTTGCATACAAGAGATGAAAGTAGAAACATTTCGAGAGTTGGTAGTAAAATATGTACCAACACTTTTAAGAAAAACCAAATTTCACAATATTCTTATTTTGCGAGAAAAATAGACATTCTTACATTGGATGGCTCA